GTTATCGAGGGCCCTGAATCCGAATCCATTGCCCATTTCGGTGGCCGAGGTCTCATTAGTTAAAAACCGACCAATCAGAAACGAACTTTCTTATTCTAAAGGCTTTTGACCTTTTTGATGGAACTTTGCTATAGGTTATCGAGGGCCCTGAATCCGAATCCATTGCCCGTTTCGGTGGCCGAGGTTTCATTGGTCAGGAACTGACCAATCAAAAACGAACTTTTTTATTTTAAGACTTTTGGTCGTTTTGAGTGAACTTTGCCATAGGTTATCGAGGGCCCTGAATCCGAATCCATTGCCCATTTCGGTGGCCGGGGTTTCATTGGTCAGGAACTGACCAATCAAAAACGAACTTTCTTATTTTAAGACTTTTGGTCGTTTTGAGTGAACTTTGCCATAGGTTATCGAGGGCCCTGAATCCGAATCCATTGCCCATTTCGGTGGCCGAGGTTTTATTGGTCAGGAACTGACCAATCAAAAACGAACTTTCTTATTTTAAGACTTTTGGTCGTTTTGAGTGAACTTTGCCATAGGTTATCGAGGGCCCTGAATCTGAATCCATTGCCAATTTCGGTTGCCGAGGTGTCATTAGTTGAAAACCGACCAATCAGAAACGAAATTTCTTATTCTAAAGGCTTTTGACCTTTTTGATGGAACTTTGCTATAGGTTATCGAGGGCCCTGAATCTGAATCCGAAGCCCATTTTTTTGGCCGAGATTTCATTGGTCAGGAACCGGCCAATCAGAAACGAACTTTTTTTTATTTTGAGACTTTTGGCCGTTTTGATCGAACTCTGCTATAGGTTATCGAGAGCGCTGAATTTGAATCCGAAGGCCATTTTTTTGGCCGAGATTTCATTGGTCAGAAATCGGTCAATCAGAAATGAGCTTTTTCATTTTAAAACTTTTGGTCGTTTTGAGTGAACTTTGCTATAGGTTATCGATGGCCAGGATTCCGAATCCGAAGTCAGTTTTTTTGGCCGGGCTTTCATTGCGTGAAATCCGGCCAATCAGAAACCAGCTTTTTTATTTTAAGGCTTTTCGACGATTTGATGAAACTTTGCTATAGGTTATCGATGGCCCTGAATCCGAATCCGAAGCCATTTCTTTGGCCGAAGTTTCATTGGTCGGAAACCGGTCAATCAAAAAAGGAACTTTTTTATTTTACGGCTTTTGGCCGTTTTGATCGAACTTTGTTAGAGGTTATCGAGGGTGAGAAATCCGAATCTGGAATCAGGATTCCAAAATTCAGATCTCGAATCTATTCGTTCTATGAGAAGTGATGTTGAGAAACAGCAAGTACTTTGTAATACGTGACAGTAGTGTAATGAATCAAGAAATACGAAGATAAGATGAAATTAGAGTGCTTGTAGAGCAAAGATTGAGGAATGAGAGCGAGTTACGCAAAAAAATTATTTAGATTGACAGGATACAACGGCTGTGTCCACTTATTCAGAATATTTCAGATTATCGGTAAATCTATACTAACGTGTCCTCTTCCTGAATACTGATAAGCTTCCAAAGAAAATTTCTAATGTGGATGAATTTTTTTGTAAAGGATCAAACTTTCCATCAGTTTTTTAAATAGGAACGATGGCTCGATTTTGAAAATGGTATCAACCTTTCGTGAGTGAAAGTAGCTGGAAGTAGCGGATAGCCGTGAATGGCGTTCCTTCGGAAGGACGGCGAACGAATAGCTGCCTCTAAACTAGGTTTATTCAAATCTGTTTTACGACATTTCTGCATAACATCAAGCAAGGTCCTTAAAAAAGTGCCACAGAGACTTAACATGTGACATTTTATGTAGAGAAGGACTCCTATAAACATGGAGAAACTCGAGAGACGACACGTATATATTTAATAGATATCTTGCTGGATATAGGAAATCTAGTACCCTTTAGTTACGAGTAGAGAAGCTTTTGAGGCAGTCGAAATGTGGATTAGTCATGCCTTGAATAAGAAAGTAGTCATTTGAGAATATGTGTTCAAAGATAGTAGTAGCTAAGTGTGAATAGCGCCACGTCGGAACTCCGACAGTGAAATATAGTAGCTTCTATTTCTATTTCACAATTTTTTTGGTATGAGATATGGTCTATTAAGCTAGTTTTTTGTGTGAAATCATATACTTAAGCTTCTTTCGATGGCGAGCTCCATGAAATCTTAGATTGACTAGCTAGGTAAAGGATTGAAACGCATAAGGAATAGTTCACAAGTATTTTCACTTTGGGATTTCTCATGCGATAAATATAGGCAGCTTTGAAACTAATCCAAATCTAGAATCCAGTAAAATTTAAATAACAGTGCATGATTATATAATTACTGGAAGAGAACGATGCATAACAGCAATTAGTTGCGCGTGACGACCCACTCGGATGCCGACGAGTGACTAGCTGCTGCCCTAAAAAATCCTTTGAATAGAATTCTTTTAAACTTCTAATCCATTGGAAGGATCTGTAGCACTTAGATCTTACTAGGATTCATGGGAGGAAGAACTGGCAAGAGGGTTAACAAGTGTATTTGAATGAAGTGTGAGAACGAGTGTGTTGGAGATCTTCAATATCGGAATCGAACATTTCCTGAAAAGCGTCAATAATACAATTTGCATCGAATCATCAAAAGTGGACTTGAATGGAATTTAATAATCCTTTATCTTCATAGATACGTCATCTGCCCATTGACTTGTCAAATTTTTTTTCCGGCTATTTAAAATTCGTTATTTAATCTCACAAAGACTCAGAGTTGAAGCCTGATTCAACTTGCGTATGCCGGATATTAGTTTGAACAAATATAGCTTTTTAGTCTGATAGCTACGCTAAACATGCATTTTCGTAGTGGGTACCGGTCAGCGATATTGCCCGCCTATGTGTTTATGAGTATGCGCATTATTAATACAGTTTGCGTGAAGTGTAGTGCATCTTTACTGCAGTCACGCTGATATTTTTTGTCTGCTGATTTTCTCTGAAAATCGAATATACTATTTTTTCGTGGCTTGAGGATATTGCTGTGTCAGTGTGGGTCACGTAGATTTCTTTTGAGTGTTATTGATAGAGTAACAGATTAAATGAACGAATGTTATAGCTAGCAGTATTACAACGGTACCAATAGCATTATACACGCCGACACATGTGTACACTAATGTTGACACTAGCACAAAGACATGTGCAAATGCCCGATGCTACCTTTTGCAAAATGTCTGCAGTAATAAACAACTGCCGATGCAGTGAAATATTCAGTCGAGGGTTAAGCGAGTCACACAGACGAGCGTTACTTGTTAATTAATGGAGCACTATCAATCATTTCAGCTGTACCGATCTTTACGTGATTTATTCCACCACAGTATTCCATACCTACGAACATGTCCGAAGTTGTTAGTAAAGTTATTAGACAAACGATACATACCGAGTTTTATTTGAAAAGAATTTATAACATCATGCCCAGCATGTAGAAAAGCTTTCATACGCATTTTAGCAGCACCAAAAATTCTATCGCAAATATCTTTTCCAGATTGGATTTCGGAATAATCACGCACAAGTAATTTAAGTCCAACTAAATTCGCTAAAGACCATTCACCTACAGGTGTTGCATTACCAGCAAGTATACTCGCATTGTCTGAACGTTTTATAAGTGAAGTAATGTGTGGATAGTCATTATGAAATTGCTTTAAAATCAAATAACCACCACTCAAGGTGGCTTGTTCTGTTTGATCACAGCGTGTAAGACATAATATATATGTACGTGTGATCAGTTTTTCTAGTGCATACAAAAAAATTATTGTATAACAAATTTGTGAAGAATGATTCTCACCTGTTGTATCATAGAATGTGAACGATCCAGCTAGGGCACTCATGCCCTTCTTCCCATAGTAAGCTGTCTGTCCTTCACGAAAACCTTGTGGCAAGATTTTTTGTGCCCAATCTATAGTTTGGAAAGCGGTTGTTTTGGACATCGATGCAAGTACACGTGATTTTGTTGTATCTTGCTGGACAGTACGAATCGGATGACGAAACATTTCGAATATGTTCTCACGAGCTAAACTAAAATCATATTTTAAATCTTCACGTTCTTCTTCATGTTGCACTTGTACAACGTGTCTTTCAATATCATCAAAAAGTTGAACAACGTCGAGACATTCTAGAAGAAAAATCAAACGTTTTGTAGGAACATTACATTTTTTGAATCATAGTTTCTGAAAAAATCATTATATCTTGATAATTAGGGCTTAACTGATGAAGCTCATGCGTCGTCAAACGTTTATTCCTTTGTTTAATGACTGCTAGCATGAACTAGTGAGAAAAAATTTACTTGAACTTTAAAGAAATATCGTAAATAAATAAGTAATCTTCGAATCAATTAGCTAACTTGATTAGCGTTGTATATGCAATTCTGATTGATGATATTTGAGAAACTGCAATTTGCATCTTACTTATTTGATACACTAGCAGTGTGTAACAAAGATTTTGTCTACAGGCTACTACCGAAAAAAAAATTTTGCTTTTGCTATTCAAACAGCGGACTTTACTCCATTTATTGATGCAAAATAAATGAATGAATACATGTGCTCTATTAATATTTGATGTTAAGAATAGCTCATAACACTTATTCAAAAGAAGGTGAGGGTGCGTCAAGTTGAGCAAAATATTGAACATATAACACTGAAGTTCTAGTTTGTTCCAAAGAAATAAAAACTAAATGACGGATTACTCTTCCTCTTAATCGAATACACTGAATTTTTGTATCACTTCTTTAGTTATTGATCGCCTAAAGAGAAACATTATGAGAAATCCTGTTATGACAGCATTAAAATAATCATATGAAGCAAAGATTAATTAATATCAATGCGAAAGTACCTCAATGGCTCTATTAAATATAACAATATTTTGTCAAAACTAATATAGTTGCCACTGAAAGATACCATGTTTCGAGTTCTGATAAAGTTTATAAAGCTGATATGCCTTCTACATTCAGATACTGCTATCATAAACCTACAAAAGCGACTCTGTCGAATTAAAAATCAATCCATTGACTTCTCGGTTAGGGCACACTTTTCTGTGAAGTCTGACAATCGTTTTCTTACTCTCGTTAACGTGCGGATAAGAGAGCTCATCAATTTAGAACAAATTTATTCTTACTTTTGCAATAGATATCATGTTTGTGGTCACAAATTTCGTAGAATTCTTTGTTTGATGCGTCATTTAAAGCAAACACGGTACAATGACTTGTACATTGGTTATTGTCTGTACAATGTAATGAATAAGAAGTTTTTAGGTATAAGCAGAATCTTCAATACGAGTTAATATATTTGTTTTTTCTTTTCCATGTATGGGTAAGGTTGAAAAGAGATTTTTAATTGATTCGCACGCTTCAGCAGCTGCCTTAGCGAAATCATCCATTCCGGATATCGCTCTATAACGTTCACAGTGTAAATACAAAGCCAAAACAAATGATATTAATGAAAAATTTACTTTTGTGCTCGTGTATTGATGCTTTCTAAAAGATACAATAGTTTTCTATCACTTAAAGGTTTAAAATTGACTTCAGAGCAATGTGATATATATTGATGAATAACATGACTTCGTTTTGCTTGAAGTACTTGACGAGGAATTGTTAATGTGTTTCCATTTTCAAGTTGCAAATGAGTATTATCCCAGAAGACTGACACTAGTAATTTAGTTTCAATTAACCAAGTAAGAAAATGATCAATTTGAGCTGGATTATAACGTTGCCGAGTGATGGATCTGAAAATTTATTTTTCTTTACAATACTACAACTAAACTTTTAACTTACGGTCGTTTGTTGACATGTAATGGTGTACTACTTACTATTTTCAAAGATCGTGCCGTTTTGACGGCGTGCCATGTACATCCAAAGTGATTGATAATGTCGTCATAAGACAAGTTCCAATGGTCCGGAATAAGAGCTAGTAAACGAATTTTTTCATTATATGGAAAATTTTTTTCTTCATATGTTCTGTACATTTGTACTAAATAAGCCAAAAAATTTTCATCTACTTCTATAGTACTTTGAGTTGATGACGACCGTGTGGTCACCACATTATCAAGACCAGCAAGCTATAACGTAAATAAAAGATAACTATTCGCGATATTTGACCAAGATACTTACATTAACCAAGGTATTAGCCTGACCTAGTGCAATGGAATTAGCAAGTGTTGTAGTAGCTGCAGCAACTGCCTTGCGAAGCTTCGCTGTCTGCCGCCGCACTGCACCTGGTATTTGCTTGTTTAATGGTATTTTACTTTGACTTTTAATTGGAGATTGATCAAGTGCTGCTAAAATTTGTTGAGCTTGATGATATTGAGATTTATCAGATGTAGCAAATGATTGTATTGATGAATTAGTTTCCATATCATCGTCGTTATCCCAATAGTTAATATTAAAATCATCAACTGTTGCTGTATCTTGTGTATAAAGTTGTTTTCGATGTTTATCACAAATTTTATCCCCGTAAGGGAAACCAACAATTTTTTCAACCAAATGAAAAGGTGCGACACGCAACATAGTTACGGACGTACTTCTTCGACGTTTGCTTGAACTGGATTGTTTGAATGAAATATTATGATCAGGATGGTGGCAGCGATTATGAACACGTCAACCGACGCCGAAAGTATATCGATGAAGTGGACATATCTTTAAATCCATATTGTTCACGTTCAAATGCTGATAAAGGCGATTCAAAATCAGATCACGCTCAAGAACAGGTACGGTCAAATAATGATTGTGTGGAATTACATTTAAATGTTGCAGATATCGAGTCATATCTTCAGTTAAATCAGCAATCAGTAATGATGAGTTCGACCATCTGTACAATTCTGAACAATTGAATAATATAGTGTAGTCAGGCATCAAAAAGAGATACTTACTTTGGTAGCAATCAAGACTACAAGTTCCAAGTAAATTCCAAAGACAGCACTCTTTACTATCATCGATTAAATTTTGGTTATTTGCTGAAGACTTTTCGTCGTTCATTTTATAATATATCTAGAATTTATTAAGAAAAAAAAAGTTATCAATCATTAATGGTTATCTTATGCGCGAATATAGACAGTGCTTCTTCAATAGCGAGGTGATATATCTAGTATGGATTAGCAGGTACTTTGTCATACGCTAGATTTATCATCAAAGAAATATTTCGAAAGGCTTTTTGAAGGAAATGAATTAGACAGAGAGTACAAACTAGTTCTAGGGAAACATTAACAACTCAATTTTTCTAGTGAAAATTCCCCAGCTATTTGAATAAAGGCAGTTGATATAGTACCTGCCTGTTGTTACGAATAAGATACGTGACGGGCGGGGCATAATAAATGGTCGCGTTTTGTATTTTATTTTTTCATCATCTAATACGTTTTATTAAAAAACAAAATATACCACACGATGCAGCATGAAAAGTTCTACAATTTACACAAAACCGCTTATTTTATAGTTACACTTTTTGTTTTCACAGTACACAAAGTTTTGAGCGATCAAATTTTGACCGTGCGAAAGTTGGTAGCAGAGAATTTTTCTTTTATTTGAAAATAATAACAATCAGCTGTGTAAATTGTAGAGCTTTTCACGCTGCATCCTGTGATATATGTTGTTTTTTTAATAAAACATACTATACGATGAAAAAATAAAAATATAAAATGTGACCATTTATTATGCCCCACCAGTTAATTATATTATGTGATTATATCTATATTCGATGAATATTTCAAACTAACACAAGACTTCTTTATTTTGTATAACAAATTTCAACAGCGTGGGCAATTTCAGATGCAAACTATTTATTATGATGTTCCAGGCTTCTCAAACGATATTTTTTCTATCCCAGAATGAAAGATACCTTCATTACTGAGATATAGGTATAATCAAATGTTACATTGTATAATCCTAATATCTACTGTGGATGATTATTTTTGATTAATGTTAATTTTCACTGTATAAGCTGATTGACGTTAACGAAATATTATTTTCAGCAAAGTTAAGGTCACAGTTTATTTTTTTTTTGGTTGAGATGCGTAAAACATGTTGATATTCTTATGGTCTAAAGAGAGCTTATCGACTTCATAATTTATCTTACACGTTCTTCTTGATCCTCACTATCTTAAACTCAGAATCGGATTTTTTGTCTTATTTTTTTCATAGACAAAGTGATGACCATATGTGTAAATATATAGTACCTTCATGTGTTCGGTAGCGTTCATATCGTATCTTTAATCACTGTTCATTACCAAACCTAAATTTTCCGTATAATGAAATCGCGCATAAATAAAGTGACGTTATCTTTGTTTCAGTAATAACGTTTCCTCTCCTGTGTATATGATCCCATGAGAATTGCCTTTACAACATCTCATTAACACCAGCTGTGAAAAAAAATTAAACGAATAACTAGATTAGGAGGACTTTGAATCATATGTTTCTAATCGATTTTAATTAAAATTAATCAGAACAATCAATGAAACTTTCATGTTTTGGTTGTTTTTGCTTAGTATCGATCATGGCCATATGAATTAAACCGATTTTAATTTAGATATTCGGCTAATTCTTTTCACATAAGTACTCTATGGTCTAAAGAAGATATTTCATTTGAGAAAAATTCACCATTTAACAAGGTATTGAGCATAGCGCACTTTCGTCTTAGTGATAGCGATACGTCAGTATATATCCGATCTATTCTTGGAACTCAGGAATATAGTTGAGCGTTCAGTAATACAAAGCAGTTATTTCGATACCAAACCATAGTAATCAAAATGAAAATCCGACATTATAATGTCATCTAACCTGTCTTGTTTTCAACAAAGTGTTCAGTATTGTAAATAATGAAAATGTAAATGTTGAACAAAGCTGACATATTTTATAAATTCAATGAGCTTACTTTTTGAATTTGAATTAAATACCTGATTTGTTTTCTTTTCAAAAATAAATGTAAATGAATCAGACATGATAATCGCGACATTGATTGCTATCAGAGATGTCTGAGACAGATCTTGAGACGTCACATATGTCAGAAATCAATTTTGTCTCTCAAACTATTCAAAATGAGTATACTAATACCATTTCTAGAGACATAGAATAAGTGCTTATTATTTGTATACAAAATATTGCTGAAAACATTGTATCATCAGTAGTAAGTTAATTTTCTATAAATTTGCCATAACATGGCTTTTAAATTTTATCCTCTCGATGTTACTTTCATAATGAAGCAATCTGTATTTATGAAAAACATATATTGCACGATAAATAAGTCTTTGAGTTAGGTTTTTCATTTTTCGTATTTTTGTGCTGATTCGTATTCCAGATACGCGGAGGTTGTAAACAATGCTAGGAGTCGCCAGTATATGGTGTATGGATGAATTGATTTCTTAGACACAGAAAAACCACAGCCACTGTATCTGTTTCAAACGAGCTGAATAGTCAGAGTATTGTGACATATTTTGTAAGAATAGGTCACATCGTTAACAATCCCTAGTCAAAGTAGACACTATTTAATATGATGGTTGTATTTCCCATCTCAAAATGTATGTCTAGTCAAAATTACTGAATTCCATCATGTACTGATGGTGATGAGATATTGTTAAAAAAATCTCACATCAAAGATTGATCAAAAATATCTCAAATTGAAAAAAAAAGTGTTTTGAGTGCTATTAATCGGATCATTATATCTCAGTCAAAACTCAATATTTAAGAGAGCGTCTCTATACGCATCGAGGATGGTGCAGCATATGGTGTGGCACATAAAAATTTTGATTTTTGATTCTTTATGTGCATTCGATAGGTCATCATTCGAAGCTAAAAACCCCAAATTTTCAGCTCGTTTGAATGTACTGTAGTAAAGTTAGGCTTGATTTACTTTTAAGCACTACGTACCTACTAC